GGATACCCACACCCACACATCCACACCTACACCCACACCCACACCACCCACACCCTAGCTGCCTGATTTACTTTTTTTCGATGAAAGCGAATGTTAGATAGTATCAACATACGTTTGCTCATCCTGAGCATCGGTGGACTACCTCTCATTTGCGAACATAAAGAAAATAAATTTTAAATAAATTAAAACATTTAAAATTTCGTTTGATTTACAGATAATAACTTTATGTCTTTTTTTGTAAAACGATCAAAATTTATAGTTAAATTTATAAAATTTGATTATTGAGAACGAATATAGAGAGTAAATTGTGTTAAAAGATTTTAATAAAAGTTATTTTATTTTAACTAAGTATGCTGCAATTTGTAGAGGACGTTAGTTTTTTACAATAGAAAGTTGTTGAGCTTTAGACAGTTACTGTAATTTATAGAGGACGTAAGCTTTTAATAAAATAAGGTTTTTGAATTCAATAGAATAGCTGTAATTTGTAGAGGGCGTCAGGTATTTGTTCAACGACGATTTTCGTTTGAACTTAGCTACGAAGAATTTTAATGCAAGTCAAAAAAGAAATGTACTAGCTGATTTATTTTTCTTTTGTTATTAATAAACTAATACTCTTAATGCACGAGTAAAGGGTCATCGATTTGGGCTGACCTAAGAACAAATTAAATTAAAGACAAACCGAATTTTTAAGGAGGTTATATCATAATTTGTTGTGATAATTCGATATTTATTACGAATGTAATGTGGAAGAATCGAGCTATGTTCGTCACGAGAAGACGTTCATCAACATCCATATTTTTAAGCCGTCGTTTTTAAAATATCAGTTTTTGTATTTTTGATTTTTGTATATAAATGCTTTTGCACTCCAATCAGTTGTCTACGTTCGGTGTTTCATTCCATTTTATAATCACAATTAGATGATGTGTTCAAATCAGACACAGCTCATAACATTCACAGTAACAATTATGTCTGACGAACTCTACAAATTGCAGTCAATTAAGAAGAAAAAAAAACACTACTATATTTTAGCGCATTCTACAAATTATAGCTTATTAAATTGAAACAGTGAAACTCAATCTTTAGCGAACTCTATGAATTTCAGCAAGTTAAAAAACCTACCCTAGAGAAAGTACTGAGTTCAGGGTACCCATGTACTGAGAAAGCTCTAGCAGGGTACCCAATATGGGTACTTTGAAAATTCTCAGTAATTTTACTGATGTATGTACTGTTTGGGGTACCCGTAAAAGTACATCCACTGAATAAGTACCTGCATGGATACACAAGTCTGTAACTTTACTGAGGAAATCTCGACAGGGTATCCTAAATTTTTCGCGTTCTGTGTGGCGACTATTCATTCACCGTTTTCTTTTTTACGTACGGCTCTATATAAACAACTCGATAAATCATAAGAAAATAATCAATTTTCATACTAGTTTTTTCTAAATTATATCTTGACTATTTCTTAATCGAGGAAATGCCGAGCTTGGTCGTAAATTAAGATCGGACTACCCTGAAGTGGTCTACGACCAACTCAAGTTGAGTCGGATCCCAACATTGTTCCTGCTACGTTTTTGGAATTGAAAAAATTAAATTGAATAAAGTAAAAAAAAATCTAGTAAATTATCTCAAGAAAAAGAAAAAATTTTAAAAAGTCAAAGATCAGGTTCGATCCTGAACATACTGAAAATTTGGTAACAGGGTACTTAGAAATACTATACAATGGTACCCAATTCAGTACTTGATCAGTACCTTTAGGTACCCAATTACTGTGCATTTTCCAGCAGGGTACTTGCCAAAGTACCACTTAGGTACCTGTAAGTACCTGCAAGTACTTTGGTACCCAAAAGTTCCTGTGACATACTAGTATCAGGGTACTTTTTTGGGTACCCTTAACTCAGTATATTCTCTAGGGTAACTGAAAGTATAAGTTGTATTAAAATTGTTATCAGTAATTTTCTTAAAAATTTGAAAAACGAAAACTTTAGACCTACGGTTGTTTTCAATTTGAATAAATTAAATTTAAGAAACAATTGAAATTGAATTTAACAGATTTTGAACTTAGATTTTATGTTCGCAAATGCGAAGACACAACCGTTGGCTTATATCAAAAACTGTATGAAAAGTAGTAAACAAGTATTTCCTCATGTATTACTTAACGTAAAAGCAGATTAGCACTAACTTGATGAGAACTTACGTGAGTCATTTTCGTGAAGAAATGAATATAAGCCTGCTACGGTTAAACTACTGCTAGACGGTAACATTAATCATAAAAGTAGACATGGACAGAGTCAAAAATCTTTGTTTTTGACCGGGATCGAGGCTGGGACCAAAAAACGGCCGGTCCTGCTCATGTCCTTTAGTGACTATATGGGTCGCGAAATAGCAGCAAAATACCTTGAACTTGTCGCCATTGACAGAGAATTATGTCGAATTGTCTGTTAGCAAAATTTTTACTAAGCCCGGGACCGAGATCTCGATGACACTGAGATCGAAACCAAAACTTTTTTATCGGAACCGGAACCAAAAAGGCTGGGCCTGCCCATATCTACGTAAAAATCATATGGAACGTTCAGATGAGTTTTGTCAAAATAAGAAAAATTAATTCTTGTTGTTCCAGAATTTACGAAACTCCTGAATACTGAGTTCATGCCAAATGCCATGTACAATGTTCGTGCAAAAAAGCGCTAGATGTCGTTATAAAAAAGTGAACTCATTCTTTTGACATAAGTTGTACACCGGACGGTATACCGACACTTTAATAACACCATCGTCTTGGCTCGGTCTGCCTCTGAATTTTGTACGATCTTGCGTGGTGCATGGCGCGAATGTTGGGAGCAAAATTTATTATGCGACACATAAATTTATTCTTGTCACGTTTCACACTCCGATTGTCCTTCTCTGTATAAAGAACGAAGAAGAGTAGTGAAGCGTAGAATAAACACATCCATTATACTTACATAGCAAGATGTGAGATAGGCAATGCAGAAGACGAGTCATCGTTGCGAAAAGAGAAAAGAAAAAAAATGCATATCACGATGATGGTGCGAAAATAATTGGGTAGCAAAGTATAAAAAAAAGTTGTAATAGACACATATCAGTTAAGGCAAAACACTATGTCAGCGTCGAGTGGGACGAAAATTATCGCAATTATCGGCGGTACTGGAGCCATGGGTCGTCCAATTATCGCTACATTGAGTCAAACAAATCATTATAAATTGCATGTGTTAACACGTGATACTCAAAGTGAACAAGCAAAAACTATTTCGAAAACATATCCAAATGTCGAACTGATCGAAGGTAATTATGCTGATGAACAATGTGTACGAAAATTGTTCACATCCGTCTATGGCGTGTTTTGTAATACCGATATTTGGAGTTGTGGTGGCTATCAAAATGAGATCGATCTAGGAAAGATGATATTCAACATTGCTAAAGAAATGAATGTACAACATTTCATCTACAGTTCACTTGATCATACACAAAAATTGTTGGTTAATCATGGTGGATATCGATGCTATCATTATGATGCCAAAGCAATTGTAGCTGAATACATTGAATCTCATGATCCAAAACAACAAATACCATGGACAATAATTACCACAGCTCCATATTTCGAAAATTTTCAATCAGTTTTTCTTCCAAAAATAGATCCTACTGATCCTGATCAACTGATATTTATCTTTCCTATGGCCGACAAACCTATCGTCCTGGTGGCTCTTGACGATATTGCTTGGTTCGTTAAATACAGTTTCGAAAATCCGGACAAATCTATTGGAAAAAATTATCACATTGCTGGTGATAATATTACAATGGATGAACTTGTTCGAACTTTCAGTGAAGGTAAGTTTCATAAACGATGATTCTACGTCATTTGGGATGATTGTATTGCTTTTCAGTAACCGGCATCAGAGCAAAATACGATGATATGCCACTTGAGAAATACGTCGAAACAATGCGAGAAAAGGAACATATCGATTTTGATCGAAAAGAAAATTTTATTGGTTTTTTTCAGCAATTTTTACAAGAGAAAGTCAATCGGAATTTCACTGCGTTGCAAACTATTCATCCTGATCTGCTCAATTGGCGACAGTGGCTAGTGAAAACAGGTTGGAAAGGTGAACGTGGCACTGTACAAACGTCAAGAGGCTTTTATGAAAAGAAATAGAAACGTTTTCATATCAAGGTTAATCTTTTCTTTATTGTATTTTAGTCCTTCTTTGAATAAACATCTAGTGAGAAACAGTCCCAACTTATAGAGCAAAACAACTTATTTTCTCTCCTTTTGCGTGATCAAGAAATACAATAGATCAGTGAGCACTACCTCTTTTCTCTGTAACATACTCAATCGGGGGTGTGGGTGTAGGTGGATGTGGGTGTGGGTGTGGGTATGAGGTGTGGGTGCAGTTGTTTATTGTTCACTTACATCACCCACACCCAAAACGCATAATAATGAGTCGAAATTTTAACGACAACAAGATCGTAAAAAGCGCACCTATTTACGAATTGTTTTTCGTTAAACTTTATCGATGCGTTTTATGTTGTTCAAAACTTTAATGCGTTCTAACGAGTAAATGCTTTGAACGAAATAAAACGCATTTATAAAGTTTAACAAAAAAAAAAAACGTAAAAAGGTGCGCTTTTCACAATTTTTTCTTGATAAGATTTCGGCGCATTAATATGCGTTTTTCTCGGCTGTTTGTCTGACTTGGTAATAGTAGCAATACTCATTTTCGTTGTATTGGTAGATAACTTTTATTCTCAAAAAATACGTTGTAGTTGGCGCAAGTAATCAAGCTCGCTGACAAATGCCTCCGCAATCATGAATAAGCTTTAAAACGATGATTCACCACTTTCTCATTCTCGTCAAAGCACTTCCGTCGGGTTTTTTCAGCCTTATGTCAATAAATAGAGCAGAGAGTTGCTAGAGAAATGATGAAACTTGGCTTGTTATTGTGAAAGCACACATTCTTCCTTCCACATTACTCATTAAGTTACACCAATGTCACTTCCAAAGCTTCACACACCCAAACACAAAGCATGAGCGCTCAGACTGCAGCAAAATCGCCGGAATATATCCGGAGCATGCTCGACTCTGACATTGATCAAATGGCTAGGATAGAACAAATGGTTGCGCCTCTGCACCCATGGTTGTCTACAAATTTTGCGAATGCACTGACTGATTTGAACGCAAATTGTTGGATAGTCGAGTCTGGAGAAACGGGCGCGCTTATCGGCTATTGCGTTGCACGTGTATCTCTGACAGAGACGGGATATGGAGCACATCTTGCCAACATCGGTATTCATCCAGAGATGCAAGGTAAAGGCTATGGACGCCGACTACTTGACCATATAATTGCGTATGCGCGAGACACATGGGGCGCTGAATGGATGGAACTGGAGGTTCACGTCGCGAACACCCGAGCTATCAACCTTTATATGACGAGTGGCTTTCATTTTACCGAATTGCTCACTGATTATTACAGTGAAGGCAATGACGCTTACCGGATGGAACTACCTCTCCACTGAGAGCACTGTCACAATCGTGAGGGTGTTCCTGTTGAACAGCTTCTATAAAATTTTCTAAATATTCCGTTTTTGTCATTGGGTGTGTGGGGTTTGTGTGTGGGTGTGAGTATTAATGAACAGAAAAGTAACACCCACCACATCCACACCCCATATACACACTCACGCCCACACGCCCACACCCCACACCCACGCACACCCTCATTTTGTCAAACATATTCGATGAAAAGATGGATGCATTCTATCATATCAAGTCTCTACTAGCAGAGAAACAGTTTCTTTAGAATATGAGTGTCATTGTTACAGATTCGCTAGTTGTTATTTCTCTAAAAAAAAGTTTTCTCATCAATATTCTGTCGTTTATGTCTTTATGGTAACGGATCAGTAACTTGTATAAAAATAATATGAAACAAAAATGTGATCGACAGTGAAAATTTGCCATTATTTTCAGGATCGACGTCGTATGATTTATTCAATAGTGTCAATTGCTCTACAAGCATTATATCATAGAATTCTCAGCTTTTTTTTTCAACTAATTATTCTAATTCGTACAATTTTATTGAGACATTAAATGAGGGAGTTTACTCTTTAAATTGATAAATGTTATCGCTAAAGTGAATATGACAAGCAAATGCAGGGTTGCCAGATTGTCCGAATTAGTCTGAATTTTCAGACTTTTCTAAGTTTTTCCGACTGCGTTCCGACTGTCCGAATTTATCCGAATTCTGGAATTTTTTCCGAATCGTAGTATTTTTTTAAAATTTCCTGTCCATTACAATTTTCCATATATATTTTGATAGATTTCATATGGCGCCATCTTTATTTTCTTATAATCATTGGGTAATTGATTGTATTATTAGAAATAAGAAGAGAAGGGAGAGAAGAGAAGATTTAATATAATCTTTTTTTCAAATCTCATATCGTCTAAGATTTATTAGAATAGCTTCAATCAATATTTAGTCAAATGAATCATCTATGGTCCAACTATCGCAATCGAATGGATATAGAATTAGTTGAAGCTGAACTACAAATCCGAATGAATTCTGATATTCATTGTTCACGTTTTTATGACTTTCTTTTAACTCAAGACGAAGTATTGACAAAAATAGCTTCAAATGAAAAATTTGTTAGAAAGACACGTCTTGATAAAGGAACTTTAGTGTTTTTCCATAAGTGTTTTGAATTGTATATATACATATGTATAGATAGTGTATTTTGAGTTGTTTTTCTTGTATTAACAGTCTCTTCTTGAAAATGATGTTTCCCAATGGTGTTATAATTAATACATTTATTTTAACTTTGATGAAATATATCTACAGAAAGAATAACCAAATGGAGAAGACTTTTCTGTTAGAAAAAATTCGTTTAAGCGTCAAAAAGCTTAAAAATGACTTTCCGAATTTTTTTCCGAATTAAGTAGATATTTTGTCCGAATTTTTCCGAATTCCAGCAAAAGAATTCCGATTTGTAGGATTTCGATCTGGCAACCCTGAGCAAATGAAACAATTAATAATGACAGGCAAACGAAGAACAATTCTTCTTTATCTTCGAGATATTAAAAATTAAGACAAGTTTGTCCATTTCAGTTCAATTTTTCATAGTGTGTTAGCATGTAGAAAATGACTTCTTTTAGGATGGCTGAATTCTTCGTCACATGAATTTCTCACCAATCATCTTCAATCTTTGTGTTCATGAAGTAATAATAAACAGGTTGGCATACATATCCGACGGTTAAAAAAGTCTTTATTTCCATGATCCATATAAAGAATGAATATGTCAATAAGATCTCATTTAACATAAAGAGAATTAAATAAACGATTGTTAAACTTAAAAACATTAAGTGTTCATAGATGAGTAAAGACACAAAAACGTGTTGTTAACGATATTGGTAAGTATTATCTCTCTATTCAAATATTTAAACGAAATATTCTATTGATTATTATAGAATTTGATTCATCATTAATGAAACATGTTCATCATAATGTAACTTGTTTACTTGATTTACCAGATGAAATTGTTCTTCTAATATGTCGTTATTTGACACCAGTTTGTGTTCTTTATTCATTTTATACTTCTGAAAGAGCTGAATATCGTCTTCATCGTATTATTTCTAATTATTATACAAAAATAAAAATTGATAGAATAACAAATAATAGATTTATGTATTTAGCAAATTTATTTAGTTATTCAAAAATTCCTCTTCGACCTCAATCATTGATATTAAGTAATGAACATGTAACTTATTTAATACAACGTTATTTTAATGATATGAATACAAATACAATCAATTCAATTTTTACCAATCTGAGATCTCTAACATTAATTAATTGTTTTTCAATTGATCTTGATATTCTTGCCAAATTTTATTTCAATATGACACAAATTGAATATCTTCATATTACTTTTCGTAGAATTGGTGATGATATGAGTAAGTAGAATAGAGAAATTTTGGTACTAGTTTACTTTACACACAGCGCCCTCATCCACACGCAGTGCTGTGTGTGCCAATCATATCTCTCATATGTTTAAAGTAAATTAGAACCGTTTTATGTTTAGAGTTTCGTGTGAGAGAAAGATGTGATGCAACAATCAATCAATTCTTATTTAATAGACAAATGTCTTCTTTACAACAAGTTATCATTGATGTACCAGATGGACTTGTATTACATAAAACATTAATACCTAATCAATATCTTAAGAATATTGATTTAGTTTTGGAAACTATCGATGATTTATATGTATTACTTAGTGGACTTGTACCGAATATAGAAAAAATTACTATTCAATTACATCGATCACGAATACTCTGTAAGTATTCGATTCATCTATCGAAGCTTTTGAGATGTGTTCTTTCAATTAGAGAAAGTCTTTTTTGTCAAAAAATTTCAATACTAATATTATAGTGACGGATTTCCGAGGACAGTCGATCGCCTTTTTATTACGCAATTTCCGATACTTCGTAGAAGAAAAAGACCAACAGTGACGTGACCAGATATCATCTCTAAAAAACTTTTTATAACCTGTTTTTGATCACGATAGACTCCATTCTAAAACCCATCGACCGAGTCCGGCTGCATCACCAATCTGACAGTTGCTACTCTAAAGATACGAGCCAATTATAGCTTGATTCTTATGAAATCACCATCAAGTTTCCGTGAGAAATGTGTAGGGTGTGCTAGCCCTTGAATATAAATTCTCATATCTTCGGAACTACTATCAAATGAGGGTTAGAAAATTGCATCGAGAATATAATGAGTACCGAAATGTTAATCTTATTTTGTAGCTCGTCTTCGCCCTCGAAGTTTGTCATCATATCCTCGATTAACTAAATTTACATTACTGGAAGCTGGTATTGGATTTATTAGTGATGATATTAAATCTATTCTTGGTTATATGAGAAATTTATTGAAATTAACATTAAGTATTCGTGATACACCTGATCCAACGTTTTGTCATGGTCCCAAATTTGAATCAATATTAATTGAATATTTACCAAATCTTTGTCAATTTGATTATACAATGACACATAGAATTGGAAATGAAACATTATTTGAAGATTTTATTGTATGGCCAATGAATTACGTTGTTTATGAAGATGAAAAGTGTGAATGGGTACATGTCTATTCATTACCATGGCCATCAAATAAATATGATAAACGAGAATTACCTATTGTAAAAAATCAATGTAATACATCAGTTACATCAGATGTTAAGCAAGATGAATATATAAAAGATGTTATGATTACAGAACCGAATGAATTATTTGAATTGAAGACACGTTTTCGTCGTGCTTATCAAATAAGAACATGTTTATCAATTGATACAAGATTGACATCACGAATTTCTAAAGTAATTCTTACAAAACAAACTCGTAAGAGAATTTTATCAAATAAAATGTATGAAAAAAAAAGATCTAGATTATTTGTTTCAGGTATAGCTTCAATGAATTCCATGATCCAACCTTTTGTTCGTCATTTAATAGTTGAATGTCGTTTAAATGATGAAAGAGAAATTCATCTTCTTGCTCGTCAATTTCCGCATGTTGAATATTTAAAATTATTATTTCCATTTGAAAAATCTGCATTTATTCGTTGTTTTCAAACATTATTTAGTGTCGATGAGAGTATTAATACGAATCGTCGTATTTGGCATAAATTAATAAACTTTTCAATTGAATTCTCTAATAACGAATTAAATCTAATGTTAGATGATAATGATTTTCATCGTTGGCTTACTAGAAATACTGATTTCAAATTTGTTACATCGAGTTTTTATCTTAATTATTTCAATGCAATCCTTTCTATTTGGTTTTGATATTTGAACATTATTGACAAAAAAAAGACTTGTTCAATTTGTTATATTAAATCAAACATAACTAATCATGAAAAAAGTTTTCATCGAGATAATCATTATTTTATGCAAATCTTGATTGACAAATAAACTTGTCCTAGTAGAATGTGTTTTTACATGTGTAGACCTCAAGATTTGTAGATACTGCATGAGTTTCTTTCCATAGCCAAGTGCTTGAATGCTTGCATGAATTATGCGCAGAGATTAAATAACCCATGCGCCGAACTCATGAAAATCCTATGAATGAGCATCCTAGAAATGATACAAGAATTATAGCTTTTCTGTTTAAGACAAAATAATGATCCTTGGCTTTCATGATATCAGAATCTACAGCGAGTGTTAGCATTATTCACCCATTCTGCTATATGTGTTGGTTGTTTTTAGCCATTCTAAAACGAGCTAAACGGCTGACCTAAAAACATTCTATTCAATGGAGCCTGTTACAAGTCTATGTGCAAAAATTGTTATCTTCAAATATATTTTCATCCGTTTTTAGAATAAAGATAAGGATGGCGCTGACTGAATAATTTTGACATTCAATGTAATTACGCATGAAAAGCAGGCTTCACATGAAATGGGATGGGACGGATTGTTCAGTCCATGTGATTTCCTTTTTTTTTTCATGGAAAAAACAAGTTCTTTTTCGTTAAAATATAAGCTTAAAGTTTTTTTAGAAAAACGATGGGGAATAAAATTTTTTATATTCTCGTTGTCGCTATTTTTCCCCTAACTTTTTTGTACTTTTTTTCTGAAAATATTTCTAATCATTTTACAAAAGTTTCAAGAATAAAAACTACAACTATTTCTATAATCCGCTCTGTGCTTCTAACTTAAAAGAAGAAGCAGATCTTGGGGTGTGGGTGTGCCTACAATTCTGATACTCATATGAGCCACCCACAACCACAGCCACAGACACATCCACCCACCCACCCACACCGACACCCACACCTCCACGCCCACACCCACACCCACACCCACCTCACACCCACGCACACCCCACACCCACCCACCCACACCCACCCACACCCACACTCACACCCACCCACACCCACATCCACACCAACCACACCCACACCCACACCCAGTAATCACGATACTTAAACTGCAAGCCAGCAAAGGATCTGTCACCATGTGAAAGCGAGAAACTGTGGAACCCACATATCAATTAATATTTCTCACAAGTACTCAACGATGATATCATTCTTTCATCATCTCACACTAACTTACCTTAAAATCGCGCATTCCGCATTTCCAATAACAACAAATAATAAAAGTGACATACACTGTTCGTTTCCTCTGCAAGCCTTAAAACTACGAATAAAATTGCTCACGCTTCCACAGAAAATCAAATACAACACACAATCAGTTCACCACAGAAATCATCACCTAATAAACAACAAAACTCAGAACCCTGGCAGGCTTCGCTGCTCCTTCACCACCCCTCCTTCCCGAACTGCCTGAAAAGTCGTACACGGCGTCCAAAACCATATGCCGTCAGTCATAGCTAAACCCCTTTTCCTTTTACTTTAAATGAATGTTACAGAGTTAACGTCCTCCATTTTTTCTATTATCGTCGCACAAACAACGTATACGATCACCTATCTTGCTCATCTGAAAAGCAAAACTTCCAACTCTCCCCTCCAACAACATCACATAGCAAACGAAAATTCATAATGATACTTCCTTTCACCTATTTTGGTCACTTCCAAGCAAAGCTTCCGACTGCCTCAGTTCATACAACATCACATACCAAACGAGAACTAATAATAATGCTTCTTCTCACATATTTTACTCACTTACAAGCAAAGCTCACCAGTCCCTCAGCTCAAACAACATCATATACCAAACGAACATTCACCATTAGATTTCTCTTCACCTATTTTGCTCACCTACAAGCAAAACTACATACTCCCTCAGCTCGTACAACATCATACACCAAACGCACATTCATCAAGATACTTCTCTTCACCTATTTTTGGTCACTTACAAGCAAAATTCCCGAGTCCTTCAGCTGATAGAACATCACATACAAAACCAACATTCATCACCAGACT